TAAAAAAAAAAAAAAAAAAACCCCACGGTGTCCTCGCTTCACCAGATACCGGTTCATGGGCACACGATGAACGCATTCTTCGCACGCCCCGGTTGGTGAGTGGCTGACGCCTCCGCTGGTGTTATATTCCTCGGGCGCGCCCGGACGAACGCCCTTCTCCTCCCCCCTCTGCGGCGACTACGGTTAGGGTCTAGGCTGGTTGCCTCCCTGAACCTTTCCGCTTCCTCCTTTAGGTGCAACACCTCCTCGCAGAATTCCTGGACGGCACGCCATGCGTCGTGCGATTGCACCATGGCTGCAACCACGGCCGCCAGGGATAGGTCGCCACCTACAACGGCTGTGAGGTCCCGCCTTTGACTTGCCCATGCCGGGCACTCCGCCAGCGTGTGCTGGGCTGTGTCTGCGAGGCAACCGACACAGTGATGGCACGCCGCGGACGGCTCCCTCCCAATCCGACACAGATAGCTGCCGAAGCACCCGTGCCCCGACAGCACCTGCGCCAGACGGAAGGTCACCGTCCCGTGCGTCCTCCGCACCCACGACACCAGGACCGGGCCGATTGCCTCGATCGCCTTGGCTCCATACTGCGACTGACGGAGGCGGCACTGCCACCTGGCCAGTATGACCCCACGCCATTCATTATACAGTGTAACTTAGATAGATCTCGCAACAGCACACACGAATTCCTTGTTTATTTTATGGCTAGTAATCACCAAATAGCGCTAATCTCTGAACCATACCTGGGCACTGGCAGGGAAGTCAAACCCATACGAGGTTTAAACGTCTTTCAGTTCCCAGGAACTAACAACAGAAACGTCAAAACCTGCATACTCACTAAACCACTGCTAGGCGAAGTAATGGGCGATAGCGAACACTCATCTCCTAACTTGAGCATTGTCCACATACACCTGGGACATCGAAACTTATACATTGCCTCCGCCTACGTAGAACCCGATAACGATCAATACAATACACTAGAGCGCTTAGACGACTTTCTCAAGGCCAAGGACAAATGCCATCATATAGTAGGGGGGGACTTTAATGGCTGGCACTCTACCTGGGGAAGTGCACGGACAAACACTAGGGGACACGTAATTATTGAGATAACCTACGGAGACGACATGGTTGTCTGCAATCAGGGAAACACACCGACCTTTGAAACTATAACACATGACAGATATCGCTCATCGATCAATGATCTCACCCTCTCCTCGGCCTCTATCTATGACCACATCTACGACTAGCAAGTCAATCTAGAGGCTTGCCCATCCTCCCAACATAACGCAATTGACTTTACGCTTAAATCATGCAATAGTACCTTTGAAACCACCAACTCTACATTCTTGTTTAACAGCAGTAAAGCCAACTGGCCTCTATTTAAAGACTCCATTCACCTACGCATGACCAACACTGACATCCTAGATCGCGACATCTCGACACTTAACCCTGAACAGCTGGAGACACTCATTGATCACATCACTAACCTTATCCGCTCTGCGCTTATGACTTTTTGAACTTATTACAGTTATTTGGCTATGTATCGCACAATTAATAAAAAAAAAATTTAAAAAAAAAAAAACTTTTTTTTTGTTCGTCAACACCGCAATTTTAGGTTTGATGAAACTTTTAAATCTTTGTATATTACGCTCTTTGTTGGCATCCATAAGTGTGAGTGACAAAATAAGATATGACCTAAAGGTCTATGTTACCTGGTCATAAAAAAAAAAAAAAAATGTGAGTGACAGTAGAGTGTTTGCTTCGGCAGTCATCCGAATTGTTGGAACTGTGTTTACTTATTACTTCACTTATTTGTAACTAACTTAAGTAATAGTTATTATAACTAAAATGCAAAGCATGACATACGAATAAGAAGATTTTTACACTTTTAAATGTATAGATACTGTGTCAATGTCTAATAAATTCTTAAAATATTTCATTTAAGTATTTATAACAAACCTAACAAACGTAGCTAAGTTTGAAAGTTGTGCAAAAAAATAAATGTTAGAATATCAGGGCGACAGAGGTATGATAATGGCTGATAGTGTTCTCCGAATGCAAGAAAACAATGCAAAATCCGTGAGAGAGGTTAGTTATAATTGTATATTATAACATAACATTTAGTTGTTAAAATATTGCACTCAATAGGCCAGACTATTTTTATCAAATACTAGCTGTTGACCGCGACACCGTCCGCGTGGATATATAAAAAAACTTAATT